CGCTTTTTGTTTCGCAATCGATTTCGCCTAAAAATCCGAACACCGTGAAGCTTCGATTAACCAAAATGCCACATAAAGCTTAGATTAATGTGCCCCTGACATGGGTAAAGACCAGCTGGGACTTAATACTTTAGGTTTACATATAATACTTTTTACTTAACTAATATATACTTTCACTAGTATGTCGATGCAACTAATTTAAATTTAATTTATGCTAATCATAATTACCACAATCGTCGTACTGAATGGCCAGATTCAATTGTGGTAGTGGTGAGAAATGTATACAACTTAATGGATCGAACCATTTTTTTAGCACTAAATTTTTATAATTTACAAATTCTCATCTCCTACCTTTTTTTTACTCTTCGTCTTCTTTCACTTCGGTACTCCACGTGCTTGGAAAGCTGGATTTGAAATTTTTAAATTGCACTATGGACAGGGAACATCGGTCTAAAATTTCAGCCTTCCAGCTCTCCTGGTTGCCAAGTTAGTAATTTTCCTCACACTATTTTTTATTGTATTCTATTACTCTCTTCTCTGCAGGCATATATAAGAGGGGAGGTTGTGAAGGAGGATATCGAAAACTACAATCGTTGGTGAAATTAATTTCCCAATTGCAAAAATGCAACACTTACCGAAAGAGCAATTGGAGCCGCATCACTGCCACGCATCACCGCTTCAGCCGTTAACGATGCAGCATCTTTTTCAACAGGTGCCGTGACACCAAGCTGTTTCGCTTCGGCAATTTTAGCTGCCATAGCACGAGCCTAAACAAAAAAAAGAAAAGCATTCATTTTTAATTTTTTTTTTCATTTTTTTTTCTAAAAACTAGCATTTGGCCTGTTGGCAGGAAAGCGTTGCTAACGTGCTTGATGCCGAGAGTTTAGTTTAACTCCGCCGGTGAGACAACCAATCCCTCTGCGATTCCCCACATTCATATGAATGAAAAATTCGTACTGAGACACATCAGAAAGTAAATCCTTTTTTTCGCCGATTTGGTTCTAAGCAAATTTTGGAATGGGAAAACTACCGGCAGTTCTTCCATTAAGTGGGTGCTATTGTTGCGTGCTCCCGCTTGAGCTACTTTTGATTTCTTCTGAATTTTTGCTTCCGCTTGGGCTACCTTCTTCTGAAACGATGAATTTTCGGAAAGGCTTTGATCCTGATTATCACTTACTGTCCTCACTGTAACTGCAAGGGGTTAAAAATCCAGTCCAGCAGATCAGATCTTGTTAATATCCCTGTACCTCCTCCTATCTATATTCGTCTGTACAAAATTCATTCAGTCAAAATACTGACATTATTTTTTTTTTTGTCCCCTAGATGCCAGATTAAAAGGACACTTTCATCAATATTGACAAAAATGCTGCTGCTAGTGTTGTTCATACTATAATAACAAAAATAATAATAATAATAACAACAATAATAATAATAGTAACAATAACGGTAATAATAAAAATAACAATGATAATAATTGTAATAATGATATTGATAATAATAACAATAATAATAATTATTATTATTACCACTTCCACCAGACGCCACTGCGCCATCCTCCATAGCAATATTACTACAGCTGAAATTCGTAGATTACCTTTTCCAGCTTATCACCACCAACCCCTCCACCGGAGCTCGATCCAGCAAAACTTTGTCCCTCAACCACACGACGTTTGCCCTTCATCATGCTATTCAGCTGTTGCTCAATTTCATCATCATCGTCATCGTCCATTGCATTCTCCATACCGTGCATCAAACGTGTCACTTTTCGTCTGGTCGCTTCTTTTTCATCTTCCGCCTAAAAAAAAGTTTCGCCCAATGCATACTGTGCCATTTTCGTTAAAAAAATTGGCGTTGATTTTGCAGTGGCAAGAGACGAAGTGGAAGGACAGGGGGAGAGGGTTCCGCTTCCAGGTCATGATTCACATCATTCGCCATGTTTCATGGATAAAGGAGGACGTTGCATGATGTTCTATCGAGTTCTTTTTTTGGAAAAAATGATTCATAAGTTTATCTATAAGTAGCGATATACAATTATCGATTGTTGAGATATTCAGTCCGTCCTGTAATGGCATTCTTTGATACCTAAGATACTTAGTGGCCCCATCCTCCCCCCTCCCCTTCCCCCCT